TTTTAAACAAAAATTGCTATCAGCAGAAGAGTTTTTTAGCTCTTGGAAGGTCTCAGCAGAATTCAGTGTACAAGTATATCTCACATGATTTCTTGTTTCTAAATGATTCTGGTAACTTTGATTATGTTCACATCTCTTATAATTTAGGTCTCGTGTCTATTTCCTTACCTTATATTTTGTTCCATTACTCTTTTTAACACTACCAGAGACAGAAAGCCACCCGAGCCAGGACTACATGGACTCCCTGCAGCGGCTGAAGGGCACGCTGAGCGAGCTGGAGTGCAAGCAGCAGTCCATTGCCAGTGGACTGAGCGACCCCAGTGAAGTTGAGAAGGCCCTGCAGCAGGCAAAGGTAACTCTTAACCTTCGCATTGAAGCAAGGAAGTTGCTTGTTCAGCTACTGTCATCCTCCTTTCTCCTGCCTGTTTTCAGTGGGGTAACTAAAATGTTGCTTACAGGGAAGTCGATCAGGGAGCAGTGTGTGGAAGCAGCCTCTGGGGGTTGATTGCTGAAAGCTGGGTCACCACAGGCTGCTGAGGGACGTGTCCAGGTGGGGGTCGGGTATCTCTGAGCCTGCAGGCTTCGCAGCTTCTCTTGCTGCCTATGCCGCGAGGCAAGGCCAAGAGAGCTGGGACTGCTCGGCTGGGGAAGAGGAGTGCTGCAGCACCTCAGACCACCTTGGCGGCCTCCGCAGGCTCTCTCCAGTGTGCCCATGTCCCTCTTGTGCTGAGGAGCCCCAAAATGCATGTCAGGGCCCTGGGAGCATCCCACTCCTAGGAGCTTGGTTGGATCAGGTTGGTGACCCGATCCAAGGCCTGCTCCTTTGCCACTGAGTGCGCTTGTGAGGAAAGCCAGGAGCTGGGGCCTGCCCTTCCCTCCCTTGGGAGCTGCCTTTCAGCTCTCCTTGCCTGAGCTGCACCACAGCTGCCTGGCAGCCGTGCCTGGCCTGCTCGGGCTTGCTGTCCTGGGGAGGCCATGTCCTTCTCCTGCGGCAGTGCAGGCTCCCTGACCCCGCCTCTGCCCTCCCAGTGAGGCTGTGGTGTGCAGGCTTGTAATCTCCTTCAAGCACTGGGTATAGCCTACCCAGACGTGGAGTGCATGCCTGCTTAAACTGTCTCTGAGGTTCAGCTGGTTAACAAATCCATCCCGTTTCATCCTGCTCGGCTGTTATGAAAGAGTAACTGTAGTCCTGTAGCCTCCAAATTGCCTTTCAAAGGGAAACAGTGCTTGCAAGCCATAAAGGTAATTGATGCACAAATTCTGTCCAGTAGAAATGATATTGTGTTTCCTATTATAAGCCTATAACAACTATGTAAGGAAAATCTATGGATGGCAGTTGCTTTGTAAATATCAGTTACTGGGGCAGGGCTGGAGTGAGGGGACAGAGTAATGCATCTCCAGTACTTTTTTTTTTTTTTTTAAAAATTCCTGCCCCCTCCACTGTCCCCCACTGCTTTTGTGGAATCGTGCCTAATTCAGAAGCATGTATTTTTCCCTGTGTGGTGACATAAGAGGGCTGCAGGTAACTCTGGAGGAGCTCTTGAACCTCCAGTTGCTGGGTGGGGAGAGGCCGTGTCTGTCTTTCTATTCAGCATACAGTGATCAAATAAGTATTTTTAAAAGCCCAGTAAATAGGGGTGTTAGTGCTTTGGTTTTTTTGAACCAGCAGATTAAAAAAAGTTCCGAGTTCCTTGGTTTTCTCTTTTAATGTTGCTTCTGTATTGTTTAAAGTTGGCAGAGATTTTCTGGTCTGTACACTGGCTGAACTGCAGTGGCATTTAGTCTTTGGAGGCTTGTCTTTGTCCTGGTTTTGGCTGGGATAGAGTTAGTTTTCTTCCTAGTAGCTGGTATAGTGCTGTGTTTTGGATTTAGTATGAGAATAATGTTGATAATGCACTGTTGGTTTAGTTGTTGCTAAGTAGTGCTTGCATAATCAAGGACTTTTCAGCTTCCCATGCTCTGCCAGGTGCACAAGAAGCTGGGAGAGGGCACAGCCAGGACAGCTGACCCAAACTGGCCAAAGGGGTATTCCATACCATATGACGTTATGCTCAGTATATAAACTGGAGGGAGTTGGCTGCGGGCAGCGATTGCTGCTCGGGGACTTGGCTAGGCATCGGTCAGCAGGTGGTGAGCAATTGCATTGTGCATCACTTGCTTTGTATATTCTTTCATTATTATTATTATTATTACTACTATTTTACTTGATTTTATTTCAGTTATTAAACTGTTCTTATCTCAACCTGTGAGTTTTCTCACTTCCACTCTTCTGATTCTCTCTCCCATCCCACCAGGGAGGCGGGGAGTGAGCAAGCGGTTGTGTGGTGTTTAGTCGCTGGCTAGGGTTAAACCACGGTAGTCTTTTTCCTACTTCAGCCTGAATCCCTTCTCCCCGTTTTCTTCAGAGTCTAATTAACCTGAAAGGACATACTATACCAGTGTGGGAGCTTTAAAGAGTGTGATGGGAGATGGGAACAAACTGTAGATGATGAGCTGCTTGTGGACCTGGGATTGTCCAGCTCCTTCTTCTGCACTGTAGCATAGACCCAAGCCAGGGATTGACTAGTCTGTGTCGTCCCCCGCCCCTGGCACTGAAAGCTTGTTTGCAGAAACGTGCATCTGTCTTCCCAGTCTCATTACTGCCTTGCTACCTGTCTTTTTAGAGGAAATGGTACATGTTATCCTGTTTCTTTCCTGTAAATACAAAGTAAAATTGAGAGCATAAACATATCAAAAAGAAGATTCTTCCTCAGTAAAATACAGTAAAATATATGTACACACATCCCACGTGTGCACTTTAAATATACTATGTATGTACTAGCAAAGTTAAATTCATTAAATTAGTAATGGTTTCATGTGTTCATTCCAAATTTCCCTCTTAAACAAATTTTAAGCAGGATAACCAAAATGACCAGTTTGATGAAGTAGACAAGTTTTTCATGTCTTGGCTTAACAACCTTCAGCTGTTATTTTTCCTTAATATTAGGAAATTAGCTATTTCAGCTCAAGTGACTCTTCATATCAGCAATGCCATAGTGAATATATTCACATTGTATCCTCCCTGTATTCCAGCTGGAAGAGTAGCTTTCAAAACTCAGGTATCCGGAGCTTTCATTGCAGCTGAATGTTAAAATAATTTTACTTTACAAAACTTGGAAGGAACACTGCTTGTGTGGGCTTTATTGTTTGTTTTCTTTTTTAAAAAAAAAAAATCTGTGGGAGGAATGAAAAACCTGAGGTCCTGTCTACATTGCACTTTCTTTTGTGATTGCAGCGTAGGGTAGCCATTGCTTCACTAACTTAAGTGCCAGTACTGCAAAACGTAGGAGAGGCATAGGTGCCTGTGTGGTTAGCTACGTGGCCAAGCTTTACAGCCCATTCTGTAATCTCTGCTACTGCACCAGTAGAGCAGCTGAAGGTTTTGCTGCTTAAAAGGTTGTTTGGACATCTCTGCTGCAGTAACTGCAGTAATTGGAATATCACTCTTCACTGAATCTGTGCTCTGCACAACGAAACCTTTGACGTACTTGCACTTGTATGTAAGTGTGTACCTGTTGTATGGCTAATACTGGAAGCAGACATAGTTTTTTTTTCTTTTTTCTTTTTTTTTTTTCTTTGTAGGTGGTTTGTGAGACACTGGAAGCCCAGAAACCCAGGATGGATAAACTTGCTGAAGAAACAAAGGCTTTGGAGAAACATGCTTCTTCAGATATAAAAAAGGTCTACACGCAAGAGTTCAAGCATGTGCAAGGACACTGGGACAAGTTAAAGCTCAAGATTTCCAAAGATGTTAAACTACTGGAGGAAATTACATCCAAGTTGAAAATATTTGAGGTAAAACGAAAGGATTTTTTTGTTACGTAATTCAGTTGTTTTAGAGCCCGCCCTTTCTCTGTGTTCCTGCGGGAGTCCAGATGATACTGATTGAGAAGTGAAGTGTTGATGGGCCACTAGTCTGGCAGAAGCTGGAAGCGTATGTAGTGTATTTGTAGCAAGGTAGCAGAGGACTTTTAACATGCCCAGGATATTATTTTAATCTTCTAATAGAATTACTTTTCACTTCAAATTTGCATTCTTCCTCTTTCAATACCAGAAGCAAAGGTTATAGTAAAGTCAAGGGTATGTCAGCTGTGCTGTTGAAGGCTTGATCCCACCAAGGGCTGAGTGCTCTCTATTGTGGTTGGTGTCAGATGTCCAATGCCATACTAGTTTGAAACTCCATACCTGCTGCAGAAAACCTGCTCTTTCAAGTGGGGGTTTCTGTCAACAGTAATAAAGAATTAGTACAGCCTGGTAAAAAAAGGAAGTAAAGAAAATGCTTATGGATAGTGAGTTTTCCAGTTCCAACAGATGGCCTCTGAAGTGTCAGGAAGGAGAGTTAAAAAATTAAGATTAATCAGCACTCTTATATATTTTATTTATATATATACACACACATGAGAAATCCTGCATGACAGAAAATCCCAATGCTTTAAAAATGAAAGGATTAAAAACAAGGGTATTTAAAGGGTATTTAGATGTTTAACCCATTGATAAAGAGGGGAGAGATAAGTGCTTAAGTAACTTAGCCAAGGTTGACTCAGTATTTACTGGTTAGATGGGTTTCTCTGTGTTTGCTTTAAGTCCCTTCTCTAGACTATTTATATTCCTCTGGGGAGAGGAAAAATATAATGAAAACTAAATATATTATGATTTAGCCCATGGCAATTTTATTGTGACCCAAAAGTTAAATAGGCACTAAGCATTCTTCAGTATCAGCTTTAAAGTATAAGCTGATCAGAGCAGTATAAAAGCCCAAATATAGTGCCATTTTTTCCCCCCCTAGAGTAATGTTTAACTAGACTTTAAATAAGTTTCATATTATTTTCATTTTCATATTATATTTTAAACTTCAAAGAGCAAGAAGGTGCTTTCAGAGATTTTTCTGTCTCTTGGGATGAAGGCATTAGCTAACAGAAATCTGTATTTTCACATGCATTAAACATATTTTAATGTGTGGAATTATTTACATTCTCTTCCATTTAACAGAGTATGAATTACACAATTTATAAAAATAAGCACCTTGCTGCATGCACCCTCTTCAGAACATTGGTGCCATGCATGCACACTTTTCCCCAAAAGTTGCTTTCAATCTTGCTCTCCCCTCCCTCTGAAGCAGAAAACTGTTCTTTTATTTGATAGTGGATTCGAACTTCAAACTAAGTGGTGTGTGGTTTTTTCTTTTTTTTTCTTTTATTTTAAGCCAGACAGGATCTTTGATGACTCCTCAAGTATAGACACATGTGTTTAAACTGAAATTTATATTAGTAAGGCCAGGTAATTGACTTGCATGATGTTGCAGTG